TGTATGGACACAGTAAGAGATACATTGAGGCTTGTAGGGTGGTTCTCCTGGAAACATCTTGCCACAGACTCAGACTACAGTGCTCAGGCCAGATTAATTGTTCCTTACCCTAGCAGGGTTCGGATCTAGTTATTGCTTTTTGGATCATGACAGCATTTGTCCATGACCAAGCTCTTAACTTATAGTTAAGCATTACGTCACTTAGACTAGGCCCATTTCAATGCCAGGGTAGCACATAGCTCACTGCTTGCCCTGGGTCCATCCAGTCCCTCGTCGTCGGGACCCTGCTTTTGGGAAGCTAGGAACTAAGGACAGTTGAGGCTTAAGTTGACAGAACAGATGTTCAGGAGGTAAATATCATTCAGAGTCAATTAACTCCCAGATTATAAAAGCACAGAGTTTACTGCCTTCTTGTGTCCATACAGAAAGGACATTGCTCTGAATTAACTATGCAACGGACTTAAGGAGAAGAGAAAAACAATATTTACAAGTCAACAGAGCACAAAGAAAGAAGTTACAAATAAACACAGAGTAATGGGAGCATTGTGATGGGAGTAACCCAATAAACCTTAGCTCCCTGCAGCAAGGTAGAAAGGAAAAATCATTGTTATCCTACATCCACGCACCATCTATCCATCATCCATGCATCCACCTATCCATGTATCCATCCACCCATTCATCCACCTATCCTTCCTTCCATCCATCCTTCCATCCAGCCATCCAGCCATGCCACCGCATCACTGCCCCATAATTGCCCCAGGCCCATCATCTGTCCATCGTTCATTTATTTTCTTTTATTTATTTTTTTGTTTTTTGGGTCACACCCAGCAATGCTCAGGGATTACTCCTGGCGGTGCTCGGGGACCATATGGGATGCTGGGAATCGAACCCGGGTCGGCCGCGTTCAAGGCAAATGTCCTACCCGCTGTGCTATCGCTCCAGCCCCTTCTTTTACTTTTTGGGGGGTGCACATCCGGCTGTGCTCAGGGCTAACTCCTGGTTTTGCACTCAGAGATTACTCTTAGCCGGGCTTGGAGGGGGGCATATGGGGTGCTAAGGATCGAACCCAGATCAGCCCAAGCAAGGCAAGCTCTCTACCGACTGTACTGTCCCTCCAGCTCCCATCATTTCATTTCCTCCATCAAACACGCACGATGCTGGAAATGCGGGAAACATGAGTGGGGACGCAGGCCACCCCATGCATGACCTGCACTTTTCTTCTGTGGTTCCAAGGATAGAAGCAGACTTCCCGCATTCAAGGCGCTTCCCCCTGAGCCATAACCTGGCAGCATGGACAGGATGTGCTGAGGGTGCCAGGGGCCACCAGGGCTGCACAAGGCCAGTGGGGACTGGCGGAGCAGGGAGCAAGGTAGGGCAGGGGCTGGGATGCAGGTACAGCCTGGGTACCTGCCCTAGAGGACAAGCTCCACCAGCCCTCGAAGAGGCCCAGGAGCCTGACCCTGGGGCCGGGGAGGGGCAGGGCCAGCTCTGCTCAGGCACCCTGCCATTTCCTTCCTTCTCTTTGCTTTGGGGTCGTTTCATCTGCATCACAGGCTTGGCACGTGTGCTGAACTGGCTGTGACTCGCCACTGCAGGCCCACTGCCCCTCCCTCGGGCAGTGCCCACCCCGCTGGGTAAACACACCCCACCCCACTTCCCACCCGAACAAGGGACTGCTGTGAAAGAGCCAGGAGTGGGGGGGGGCGCCCGCTCTGGTTCCCTGTTCCCCGACAAGCCCCACACAGAGCTGTGTGGGGGTTACTGCTGTGGAAGTCGGAGGCTCTGGGTCGGAAGAGTTGTGGGGGGGGGCTTCCTGTTTGAGCTTCAGGGTCTGACAAAGAGCAAAGGAGCTGAGTTGGGGCCCCGGACAGCGTGCGAGGTGGCGCTGACGTGGCACCAGGCTGATCTGGGTTAAGTCCTGGCACCACATAGAGTCCCCAGAGCCCATCATCACAAGTGAGCCCTGAGCGCAGAGCCGGAGGCAGTCACTGAGTCAGTCACTGAAGGAGTCCCCCATCCAATAAAATCAGGAAACCAGGTCCATTTGCTGGACAAGTTGGCGTGGTGGGCTGCAGCGAGGACAAAGCTTGGGCTCCCTTAGGCAGAGCTCAGAGGCTCCTGGGGTTCTGGAGGGAGGTTGGGACTAGGGCTGAAGGTTTCTCAGAAGGGCACTTGGCTGGCATGGCTTGGCGGCGAGGGTGGGCGCAGCCTGCAGCGTGTCGAAAGGTCTTGGGCAGGCGCCGGCCTGACACATAGCTGACCTACATCTGATCCCCGGCACCACACTGGGTTCCCTGAGCACTGTCAGGAGTGCTCACTGAGCACAGAGCCAGGGCAAAGCCCTGAGCACCGCCAGTTTACAATCCCCTAAACAAAACCCACCAAGACCCTGTGATGGGCTGGGATAAGGCTGCGGAGACCTCCCTCTGGGCTGGGTCTTTGCGGTCACTCACAGATTGTCATCTCCTATCCCTCCCCGGCAGCGGGACCGCTGAGCCAGGCGGTCAAGGGCAGGCCGAGGCCCAGCGCCTTGCTGGCCTCCACATGGATTTTCCCCCCACCCCCCACCTCTGTGGCCAGGCCGCCCTCCGCAGGCCAGCGCCTTCCTCAAATACTTTCCCAGCAGCCCCATCTCCATCCTCCGGGCCCTGTGCCCCCGCTGGGCGGGCTTAGAGGCTGCTGTGCCAGAGGAGGTGGGGAGGTGGGGGGGCTGGGACATAGCCAGGGGGACTGGGCAGCAGACAGGGGCCAGCAGACGCTCGTGTCCAGTGTCAAGTTCCCCCAGCTCTGCTCAGCCGAGTGCTGCCTGCGCCCCAAAGTAATAAGAAGCTCGCTCCAGAGTTTTTCAGCCAGGAGCTTCCTCCCGGATGACCCCACTGGACAGGATTGGAGTTTGCGCCCGGTCACAAGTGGGGTCCCTGAGAGTTCCCGCCCCCCCAAGTCTGCCCTCCCCACAGCAGAAAGCCCAGTGACGGGGGCAGGACTGGCTACAGTCATGTAGGAAATCAGAGTGATTTCAGTACACGCAACGTGTGGAGTCAGGTTCTCCAAACCCACAGTCAGGGGCCAGGCCGTCGGTCCCGACCTAGGGTGCCAGCACCCCGAGCCCCAATCATGGAGGGCTTCCTGGGGGGAGGGGAGGGTGTGAGCAGAGACAGACCCTAAAGGATGCAGGAGGAGGCTGGGGGGATGTTGATGTAGGAAGGCGCCAGGAGGGTTGGGGTCTGACATGCACCCCCTGGCATCCTGCTGGCCCCACGTTCACCATTCCTCTTGCTAGTAACGCCCTTCCCGGCATGTCCCCATGAACAAGGCCACGTGTGTGTGTAGCGCCGGCCCTGTGCCTGCCTGTGGCGGGGGCCTGGCTTCCATGGGCCCCAGGCCCAGCTGCATGAGGCACACGCCAGCAGCAGGCCTGGCCGAGCTGCGGTTTTCCCGAGAATTCCAGCTCCCGGCCCCCAGGTGCGTGGGGCGCCAAGGAAAACAGGAGGTGAGCTCATGGGCAGCCGCGGGCGCGAGGGCTCCTGCCGCCTGCCGCCCCGCCCGCCCCTGCAGCTCCCCGAGGCCCCCAGACCATAGCCCCCACTTCCCTCCGTCTTTGTTCTGTGCCTTCTCAGCTTCATGAGCCCAGCACAGACCGACACTCAGCTGGTGTGAAGGGTCCTGAAACTCCCCAGCTCAGCCATTCCCACTGACTCAATGGTCCCTCCTCTCTGTTAGGTGCTTTGCCACCTCTTCCAGGCAGCCCCCTCTGACTGCTCTGCCACCTACCAAGAGAAAGGAGCTGGCTCTGACCTGATCCTTGCTTTACCCTTGCTCCTCATAGTGATTTTAGGCTAGTCGGCTGCCCCCACCTCCGAGGGCCTCAGTTTCCCAGTCTATACCATAGACTTTTTTTTTTTTGCTTTTTTTTGGGTCATACCCGGCGATGCTCAGGGGTTACTCCTGGCTCTGCACTCAGGAATTACCCCTGGCGGTGCTCAGGGAACCAGATGGGATGCTGGGAATCGAACCCGGGTCGGCAGCGTGCAAGGCAAACGCCCTACCTGCTGTGCTATTGCTCCAGCCCCTATACCATAGAGACTTTAGGCATGGGGATGCGCGGAGGGCCCGGGGTGAAAGCCAAGATGTTCTGTGGCTCAGTGCAGGCTGCCATTGCTGGGCTGGGAGGATGATGCTCTCTCCTGATCGGCTCATTTGTACTTTTATGATGGGCTGTTCCCACAGTAGTTGGAGCAAGAGCTGGGAAGCTCCCTTAAAGCCTGACAGAGCCTGCACCCCTTCCCCCCTCCTCCAAGGCATGTGGGGGTGCCTTCTGGGGCAGCCAAGGAAACCAAGTCAGCTGCCCTCTGTCCCACCACCAGCCAGAAACAGACAGGGAGAAAGCGCGCCCGCTTGCCAGCCCCTTGCTGATGGTGGAGGCTCTCAGGAGACCGATGCCCAGGGCCACACTCAGCCAAGTGAAGCCAGGAGGGGAGGGGAGCGGCTGCCCCGAGGCCTGAGGGGGCAGCAGGAACTTGGCTCCGATTCCAGATCGGGTCCCAGTGACCACACCACAACTGGCATCCGAGGGCCTTTGGCACATAAAAGCGCTGAGCGGGCTTTGCACGAAGGAGGCTGGGGTGGGCACCAAGGCCCGCATGGGTGCCCGGAGCATTGCTGGCACTACAGGGAGTAAGGGGCTGGAGGGGTCCCCCATCCCAGCTCCACCAGGTGTGGCCCAAGGTGTAAAATAAAATAAAATCCCCCCTGGGGTCTAGCCCCGCCCCCTGCCAAGGACCCTGTGACTCAGTTTCCCCTCTGTGTCCCTGCTGGCTGCAGGGTGGGGCTTCTTACCTCCAGACCAGCCTAGTCTGTTTACCTTGCGGCAGGGCTGGGCAGGGCTGGGGTGGGCCGGCCCCCGGGCCGGCGCGCCGCGCCCGCCGCGGGAATAAATAGGCCCCGCGGGCCTGGTGGGCGGCACACAGCGCTAGCCGGTTGCAGCCACTCGCCCGCCGCCGCCGCCATGGGTCTCGCCGCCGCCTGCGTTCTCCTGCTCGCGCTGGCTGCGCGGGGCGCATCCGCCCAGGGCCAGATGCCGCTGGGTAAGGGGCGGCCATTCCGCGACCCCCTAAGGCAGGAGGCTCCGCAAGGGGGGTGCGATCGCGTCCGGACATATGGCCCAGCCGGGACAGGGCGCAGACGATAGGACAGGGTGGGCGCCACAGCGGTGCTGGGGTCCCCCCAGCCGACTCCCCGCTAGCGCCCCCTGTCGACGCAGGTGCCGACCTGGCCCCGCAGATGCTCCGACAACTTCAGGAGACCAACGCGGCGCTGCAGGACGTGCGGGAGCTGCTGAGGCAGCAGGTGCGTGCGTGCGTGGGACCTGGGGAGAGCGGGGGTCCCGGGAGGGGGAGTCCTGGAAACACGGGGCTCCGGGGAGTGCGCGGGCGGGAGGAGAGGCCCAGAGGCAGAGGGGGCGAGGGAAAGGGTCTGCGCAGGGGTCTGGGAGGAGGCGCAAGGGAAACGGGGCGAGGGAGGGTCCGTCCCAGAACTGGCTTGTGAGAAAGGAAAGAAAAGGAGGGTCCTGGGGAGAGAAGGTAGGAAGTTCCGTAGGGGGCGGTCCGAGTGGGAGGCCAGGGGGTTTCTGGGGGGTGATGGAGAGGGCAGGGAGCGATGGAACCCGCGGACCGGCTCCCCGGAACCCCCAACCCCCGTAGGTCAAGGAAATCACGTTCCTGAAAAACACGGTGATGGAGTGCGACGCGTGCGGTGAGCGCGGGCGATGCGGAGCGCGGCGGGGGGCGGGCGAGTGGAGGCTCGGGGCGCGGAGCCCGCGGGAGGCGCGAGGACACGCGGGGGAGCGGGCGGGTGGGGGAGGCGCGGGCCCCGCCCAGGTCGGGGCGTGGCTCTGACCGGCGCGGCCCGGCCCGCAGGGATGCAGCCCGCAATGACGCCCGGGGTGAGCGTGCGCCCGCTGCCCGGCTGCGCGCCCGGCCACTGCTTCCCCGGCGTGGTCTGCACGCAGACGGCCAGCGGCGCGCGCTGCGGCCCCTGCCCCGAGGGCTTCACCGGCAACGGCTCCCACTGCGCTGATGTCAACGAGGTGCGCCCGCCTGTTCGCCCCCCAACGCCCACCCCCCCACTCCCCACCCTTCCTGCCACCTCCTCCTCCACTGGGGGGGGCTCTCCAGAAACACCCCTTTACCGCTCCGGGAGCATGGCCACAGGGCCTTCCCAAGATCCAGGACCACGTTCCCCGACCACTCCGCTTACCTCTCCGGGTGCCCCTCCCACCGACTGCCCCCATAACCCCTGACGCTAGCTCCCCCCACTCTGCCACGGCGCGGAGTGATCCCCCGCAACGACCCCCTTCACCGCTCGCCAGGCGCCCCCTCGGTCACACTGCCACCCCCGCGGAGTGCCCGCCCCGTCCACTTCCGCGCCTCCGCCGCCGCCCGGCACGCACGCCCCGCCGCCGTCCCCTGCCCCAGTCTGCTGGAGACGGCCGCCCTCTCATCCATGCTGCCCCGCCCATGAGCGGACAGTGCGCTGGAACCCGCGAATAGCCTCTCTCCCCTCCTGGACGCCGCCAAGTCCGGGTCCAGGCGGCGGCAGGTCTGACCCCGCCCCATAGGGCGCCTTCAGCTGGTCCTGGTCACGGGCCTGCCAGCTCTGCACCCTCTTGACCCTCGCTGGCCCTTCCGCCCCCAGTGCAACGCTCACCCGTGCTTTCCCCGCGTGCGCTGCATCAATACCAGCCCAGGCTTCCGCTGCGAGTCTTGCCCGCCAGGGTACAGCGGCGCCACCCACGAGGGCGTGGGACTGGCCTTCGCTAAGGCCAACAAACAGGTGAGGTCCGGAGGGGGGACACTCAGCAGCGGGCTGGTGGAGGGCCAGTGGGCTGCCTGCGATGACCTCCGTGCCCTCCCACCCAGGTCTGCACGGACATTAACGAGTGTGAGACGGGGCAGCACAACTGCATCCCCAACTCCGTGTGCCTCAACACCCAAGTAAGGCTGCGCGGGAGGCGGGCGCGGGGTCTTCGGGAGCCCACGGGACACTGCCAGCGACTGACCGTCCACCGCCTCCGGCGCAGGGCTCCTTCCAGTGCGGCCAATGCCAGCCTGGCTTTGTGGGCGACCAGGAGTCGGGCTGCTATCGGCGTGGGCAGCGCTTCTGTCCCGACGGCACGCCCAGCCAGTGCCATGAGAAGGCCGACTGCGTCCTGGAGCGCGACGGCTCCCGGTCGTGCGTGGTGAGTGCGGGAGGGAGAGGCCCGGCCAGATTGGGGACACGGGGTGCAGCCAAACGGGAACACCCACTCATCCTCACCCTACCTCCCGGGCAGTGCGTTGTCGGCTGGGCAGGCAACGGGCTTCTCTGTGGCCGAGACACTGATCTGGACGGTTTCCCGGATGAGAAGCTGCGCTGCTCCGAGAGGCAGTGCCGCAAGGTGGGTGGAACTTGGGTCTGGAGGGCGGGGCTCAGGGTAGGTGGGCGGGGATAGAGCCTGGTGGTCGGGGCTCAGGTCCCAGGGGCCAGGCGAGGTGGGCCAGGCTTGTAGTTCTCTGCTGGATGGGCACCAGGTCGTAGGTATAGTGGGTGGGGCCCGACCGGAGATGGGCAGGACCCCCTGAGTGGGTGTGGTCGCCGGTCGAGCCCTTTGTGCCCACTTGTTGCCCTAGGACAATTGCATGACAGTGCCCAACTCAGGGCAGGAGGACGTAGATCGCGATGGCATCGGAGATGCCTGCGACCCTGATGCTGACGGAGATGGAATCATCAATGAGGAGGTGAGAGCCAGGGCGCTTCTGCACGGGGTCGTGGTCTCCCAGTGGGTGGAGTTTGCAGAGGCGTCGCCTCGGAGAACCCTGTTTTCCGTATCTCAGAGGGGTACTGGGTATTTTGGAAAAGCGTTCTTCATCTGCGGAGTGACCTTTGCACCTCCTGGCCTGACCCTCTTCCTTCCTTTACCCTGTCTTCCAGGACAACTGCCCACTGATGAGGAACCCAGACCAACGCAATTCTGATGGTGACAAATGGGGTGATGCATGTGACAACTGTCGGGCTCAGAAGAACGATGACCAGAAGGACACTGACAGCGATGGCCGAGGGGATGCCTGCGATGATGACATCGATGGCGATCGTGAGCGTGGGAGAGGGGCCAGGCTGTGCTCAGGGGCAGGGGTGGGGTAAGAAAAGTGCTGGGGGCCCCTTGGACATAAGGTGGGGCAGGGCGGTGGACAGGAAAAGCAGCACCGGAGGCCGCGCTGGGAGAACTGGATTTCGGGGTGGAGCTGTCCTTCATGGCCCAGGGAGTGTGTGTGTCCCGCTGTGTCCCAGGGAAGGGGAGGTCAGGGGAGACCATGCAGGATCCAGCCCCCTTGGTGTCCGCTCATCCATTCCATGAAGTCTTTGCGCTGCTGATGTCAACCTGGTCTTGTGCCCTGGCTTCCTGCAGGGATTCGAAACTCAGCAGACAACTGTCCCAGGGTGCCTAACTCAGACCAGAAAGACAGCGATGGTGACGGTGTAGGGGATGCGTGTGACAATTGTCCCCAGAAGAGCAACCCAGACCAGGTCAGGGCAGGCAGAGCCGTTCTGGACCAGGCCCCGGGGAAGTCCAACACAGGGGAGGAAATGGCACCCCCTGAGCTGCAGTGGGAGGGCTTTGGGGCTCACGAGCTTTCCTCCGCCTGAGGCTGGACCCTGCATCTTTTCCACAGAGGGATGTGGACCACGACTTCGTGGGCGATGCATGTGACAGCGATCAGGACCAGTAAGGCCGTGCGGGATGGGTGAGGAGCCCTGGCTGAGCACCCCTGACCAGACTCTTTAGTGACCTCGTACTCTGTTCCCGCCTCTAGAGATGGGGATGGGCACCAGGACTCAAGGGACAACTGCCCGACGGTACCCAACAGCGCCCAGCAGGACTCGGACCATGATGGCCAGGGTGATGCCTGTGATGATGATGATGACAATGATGGGATCCCAGACATCAGCGACAACTGCCGCTTGGTGCCCAACCCCAACCAGGAGGACTCAAATAGTGAGAGGGGGCGGGGACAGTGCTGGCCCCCTAGGTGGTGGGGTGTGGGAGTCGCCAGTGGGGATGGGCATGGATGGCTTGGGTGGAGCTTGGCCAAGTAAGGGTGTGGACTGATGGGTTCAGCCAAGGTTACAGTGTGGGCTTGGCTGGCTTGGGCAGGGTGTGGGCGTGGTCTCTGCATGGGCGTGTCTCTTCATGGGTGTGGTCCGGGTTTGGGAATGGCCTGGGTATGGTGGGGTCTGGGTCTGATACAGGAACTTAACCAGCGACAGGGTTGGCTTGGTGGGGGGGCGGGGCAGGCTGGACTAGGGCCTGGGGTCTGAGTAGATGAGGCGTGGGAATAATGTGGGCGTGGCTGGCTCGGGATGTGGTAGGGTGGGCTGTGATCCAGCAGCCCGGATCTCATCACCCCTGGGTCATTGGTGTTATCCATCTCAGGAGTTGGTGTGGGAGACGCGTGTCACGGTGACTTCGATGCCGATAAGGTGGTTGACAAGATCGATGTGTGTCCTGAGAACGCAGAGGTCACCCTCACTGACTTCAGGGCCTTCCAGACAGTCGTGCTAGACCCTGAGGGCGACGCACAGATAGACCCCAACTGGGTGGTGCTGAACCAGGTCAGTGCATGGCCCAGAGTGTAGGTGGAGGGAGCCTGGCTGAGCTGGGAGAGGGGAGCCAGGTTACCCGTCTCCCCAGCTCTGAGATCAGACCCCCTTTGATTCCCTCAGGGCATGGAAATTGTGCAGACAATGAATAGTGATCCAGGCCTGGCTGTGGGTGAGAGGCGGGCCACCGAGGGGTGGGGCCACTGGGCTTTGGGGTGTGCAGCTGCAGTCCAGGTTGGGTCTGGGTTCACTGACCTGATGGAGCCCCAAATTACTGGGGGTGAGGGTCTGGGCACTTTGCTTATGTCTGGACGGGGTGGCTCTAGGTCTTTGGTGTTTGGACTGACGTGGGCGGTGGCTCGCATCCTTCCCTTTGCAGGCTACACGGCCTTCAATGGCGTGGACTTCGAAGGCACGTTCCATGTGAACACGGTCACGGACGACGACTATGCAGGCTTCATCTTTGGCTACCAGGACAGCTCCAGCTTCTACGTGGTCATGTGGAAGCAGATGGAGCAGACGTATTGGCAGGCCAGCCCCTTCCGTGCTGTGGCTGAACCGGGCATCCAGCTCAAGGTGTCTTAGCTAAGCCCCCTCCTGGCCCCGTGTGCTGCTGAGGCCTGAACCTTTCCACAGACCCCAAAGCATTTATAGTCCCACCAGCACCACCAGTCCCCTCCCCCCATCTCGCCCTGCCCTGGAGTGCTTTTTTTTTTCTTTTTGGGTCACACGCGGCAATGCACAGGGGTTATTCCTGGCTCTGCACTCAGGAATTACTCCTGGTGGTGTTCATGGGACCATATGGGATGCCGGGAATCAAACCCAAAAGCCCTGTCGTCCACAGGCCCCGGAGAGCACCTCCGGAATGCATGCTATCATTATCGCTCCGGCCTCCCCGCTGTGCTTTGTTTGGAAGTTCACACCTGGCCATGCTCAGGCATCATTCCTGGCATTGCTGGAGAAACATGCTGTGCCCTAGATTGAACCTGGGGACCACAAGTGCAAAGCCTAAAGTTCCTCGTGGACCCTGAGCTCTCCCCTCTACATCCCCACGCCTTTAAAATCACCCCAGATTCCCTCACTTTTTTCCCCAAACCTCAGCGCCCTAAACTGGCTCTGAGCTCTGCGTCCATCTGCAGCCCCCAGGCCATGGGGTTGAAACCCTCCAGTGTCTCTAGATCTGTCCAGGGAACCTCAGGCTTTGATGAGCCTCCAGACCCCTACGCTGCCTGCCCCCCCCCATTCTGTTGTGCAGGGTTCCCGGGGTCCCAGTGGCCCATGTGGGCTCTGACCATTCCCCTTGTCCCTGGCTGAGGCAGGCTGTGAAGTCGTCCACAGGCCCCGGAGAGCACCTCCGGAATGCGTTGTGGCATACAGGGGACACGGGGTCCCAGGTGCGGCTGCTGTGGAAGGATCCTCGCAATGTGGGCTGGAAGGACAAGACTTCCTACCGCTGGTTCCTGCAGCACCGGCCCCAAGTGGGCTACATCAGGTGGGCCCGTCTCTCTCCAGGGCATTGAGGGCATGGGGCAGCGCTTGTCTGGTCTCCTTAGCTTAGAACGGGATGCTGGGTGGGATGTGTTTAGTATTAACCTTGGTCAGACCCTGAGGGCGTTGGGGATCCTCTGTGGATGGGGGAATTTCCCCAGTCAGCTTGGGCTCAGCACTCTGCTCAGCACCTGCGGAGTGTGGGCCGGGGCGTGAGGGAAGGGGCCTTGTTCCAGGCAGGTCTCAGGGAGAACCCCTTCCTTGCAGGGTGCGGTTCTATGAGGGCCCAGAGCTGGTGGCAGACAGCAACGTGGTCCTGGATACGACCATGCGGGGCGGCCGCCTGGGAGTCTTCTGCTTCTCCCAGGAGAATATCATCTGGGCTAACCTGCGTTACCGCTGCAATGGTGAGGAAGGGGGCTCCTCCTGCCCCATCTGCTCACCAGCCAGCCCTACCCACTTCCTGGAGGCTCCGCCCCTCACCACTGCCCCTCCCACGTACTCACTGGTCCCGCCCCTACCACGCACCCACAGGCTCTGCCTCACCTTTGCCCCGCCCACTCCCCAGTTGCTCCCCCCCCACCTTGGCCCTGTCCACTCCCTCCACCGGCCCCTCCCATTCGCCCGTGTCCTCTCCCCATTCTCTTCAACCCTGTCCCATTCCCGCTTGTCACCACCACCTCTCTCTGCAGACACCATCCCGGAGGATTATGAAAACCAGCAGCAACGGCTGCGGGCCTAGGACCAGCACGGAGGCCTCCTGGAGGCCGGGCACCTAGCCCAAGGAGTGGCAGGCCCAGGGGGCAGAAGGGGGCATAATAAAGTCTGTTCAGCGGGGCTTTCACTGACTCCTTGCCTGCGGAGGCTGGGCCAATCTCTGTACTCCGTGACCGGTGGGCGGCCTGCACGGCCCCCTCCTCACTGGCACGGTGTCCAGCCTGAAGGAGACTCAGCTCTGCTGTCCCCTAAGGCTCGGTTCCCAGGGCCTGGTCCTCACCCCCATCTCCATGAGGGGCTGCGACGCATTCACTGGTCTGTGTGCACGTGTGGCTTACCAGGACGGTGGCCACAGGGGTGCCCCTTTGGCACCCCCTCACTGCCCAGGTACCACTCTGGATCAGGGGCGGGCGGGAATAAAGGAGGAGGCGGAGACAAAAACATCGGGTTTTTATTACATTTCATTACAAAGGGTGCAAAGGTACAAAGAAAAATGCGTCCAGGTCAGAGAGGACGGGCAGGACCCGGCCAAAGGGGCCCTGAGCTGCCCATCCCGCCCGCCGCGGTGGCCCGAACGCAAGGCCGCGGGCCATCCACAGCGCGTGTACATGCTGGGGCGGGGCGGGCTGGGCCGAGGCGCATTTGCATATGTCAGTGGCCCTGCTCGCTGCTGAGGCTTCTCACCCCGCAGCGTCGCGTGTTGGCAGAGGGGGGGCACGGCCAGGACACCCAGGGACAAGAGGTCAGAAGTGACAGGCGGCGTTGGGCACCGACTGCCCCCAAATTCCAGGACCAGAATCCTGAGAACAAGGGGCAACCCCCAAGCCATGCCTTCCCCTGGCGCCTGGGACGGGGCTGGGCTGCAGGTGCCACCTCCGCCTCCAGGGGGCTCTCTCCCGCCTTCCTGGGGGAGTGCAGCTTGTGGCCCTGCTGTGGCCCAGGCTAGGAGCCCTGCAGATGGGGACAGCCAGGGCCGATGGTCAGCTCAGGCATGTGCCAGTAAACTTGTCATACAAGACACCCCAGGAAGATGGGGACAGAAACAGACCAGCTGCCCCCTCTCCCCAGGCCAGCCCCCACCAGCTCTGCTGGTCACCACCCTGGCCCAGGTCTCCACTGGCATTCCACGAGACCCAGCGTGGATGGTGGCGGGGGCTGGGGGTCCCTGGCAAGGCCTCCAATACAGGTCCAGCCCGTCTCGGGGTGGGGGCATGGTGCTTCCTTTGGAAACGCCAAGTGCAGCTGGGAGCCGGGCTTGGAGGAAGGTTTGGCTTTGCAGCAGCCCACGGTGGGGGTTTCCGCATCCCCACAGGCCCTGGACCAAGGCGGGGGCTGCAATCGGCCTCCCTCAAGTCAGCTTCCATCTTCCTGAGTGCAGGACAGGCCACTCTGCCCCAGACGCAGCCTGGGTGGACATACGAACAGATGGACAGTGGCCCTGGCTGCACCGACCACTGCCCCCCGGGGCGCCTTGGGCTGCCTCCAAGAATCAGGCATGATGCGGCAGCCCAGACCCGGAAACCCTCCAGCAGGTTCTGGCAGGGAGGAGCAGAGGGAAGTTTGGGGGGAGGCAGCAGGCGGGGGTGCTGTGGAGGGGGTCATCTCAGGTAGCCCTGAGGGCCACGTCGAGGGCTGGGGTGGCATCACCCCCAGGAAAGGCCCCTCCTGACACGCATGCATACCCAGAGGGGGTCCAGCCAGTTTCTGCATGCTGCCGGCTGGGGGACCCCAAATTCTGCAGAGGGGTCAACATGCCCCCCTGAGCTTTCTGCAGGGGAATTGGGGTGTCTTGGGCAGGGCGCCCCAGAGAGCACATGGGAGAGGAAGTCGGCCTGAGTGTCCCTCGGGGCCACTGCCCGGGTGAGATGGGACCCCCTTTCTCCCCTTCCCACGCCAGCCTGACCTTAGGGTACAGACTGTGGCCCTGACTCCACCCTCGGGATGAAGAGCACAGAGGTAAACTGAGGCAAACAACGCCTCTGGGTGGTCCCTGCTCCCTGGCCAAGAGGTGGCGGGCTGTGGGACCCGGTGGGGACGGGCAGCACTGACTGAAGGGGGCTTGGAGCCCCTGAAGCGATCCAGCGAGTGAGGGAGTGGGATGCAGGTGGTGGCGCATCTATGTACATGGTGGGGGGCTCCGCCCCCCTCACGGCACGGCTCACCCTGAAATCACAGTATTTCACAAGTCCTCCGGGTGCTCTGGTTGAAGAAAGTCTTGGAAATTCAAAAGTGTTTAGTGGAAAACATTGAAAAGTCGCACAGGCTGGCCCGGGAACGGGCTGCGGTGGCCTCTGGCTGTGTCCTGCCTGCCCCCCGCCTGGCAGCCTCCCCCCTGCGCAGCGGGGCTGGGGTGGGGGCCCGTGGCCGGGGCTCACTTTGCGCAGGAAGGTTGCTCGTCTTTTTATTAAGGCCATTTTTAGAAAAAGGTCTACATACAAGTCTAATGTAATCAAACTCTTCTATATACACGTAGTTTTTTAAAAAACAAAACAAAATGGGGCTCCCCTGGCCCCCCCTGCCGGCCAGCTCAGCACCCCCACCCAGACGGTGGAGGGGCAGCTCAGTCAAGGAGGGGGTGTCCTCACGCCAGGGGGCCAATAGCCTGGCCAAATGCTGGGGTCACCCCCTGGGGACATGTGGCAGGGACCCCCCACCAGACACCAATGGGGCTTCCTGCTCCGACACAGCGGGGTCGGGGATGAGAACTCCCTCACAGCCCCCAGCGGGGCGGGGTCTCGGGAGACCCACGCAAACAGATGCAACTTCATCCTGGCTGGCCTGACCTGGCCCCACCTGTAGACCCGCGGGGTCCAGAAATTTCCAGTTTGCTTCAGAATGTGCGCAGGGGTGGGGGGGTCTGGGTTACAACATGCTGACAGGCAGGAGGACAGTTGGGGCGTAGGGCCCCCCACCCCCCCGCGACCCCCCGCAGCGTTAGTCACAAACCCGAGACAAACGGAACATCACGATGAGATGGCCCTGGCACGCTTCCCCCGTTCCTGAAATCAGTCCTGGGCGCACAGAACAGAAACGAGGCGGGGGTAGCAAGTCGTCACCCCCACCCCCTCCCCCGCCAGGAGCCTCCAACACACCCCAGACGCTCCCCCCGCGCGAGCTGGGCCCCACGTGGCCGTGGATGGGGCGCTGGGCGGGGACGGCAGTGACGGCTGGCAACAGTCGGTGGTTGTCCCCCCAGGCCTGTAGCCGTCGGGGCCTGGCGCGAGGAGGGTCCCGGGGAGGGTCCGCGGGGACGGCAAGGCAAGCGCGGGGGCACAGGCGCAGCCCGTGCGGTGCGGTGCGGGGCAGAGCCGCCCAGCGGTGCGGGAGCGCAGGGAACGGGCTGTGCTCACAGCCGGTCCATCCGGAAGGTGTCCTCGGTGGCCGGATCGGCCAGGACCATGTCGGGGTCATTGAGCATGTGCAGTCCGTCCAGGGTCAGGGGGTCGATCTTGAGCTCGTCCAGCGGGAAGTGGCTATCGGCCTCAAAGCCCACGTCTCCCAGCCCCGCCAGCGAGCTGCCCAGTTCTTTGGATGGGCTGGGCGGGGACTCGCCAGTCACTGGGCGGGCGGAGACACGGGACACGGTTCAGGGGGGCGCCTCTCTGCTGCCCTGTTCCCAGCCCGCACTCCTGGGTGCTCCCCTGGCTTCTACCCACACCCAGAGGGTTCACAGCACCGCAAGACCCGGAGGACCTCGAGATGGGGTGTTGTGCGGGGGGAGTGGGGAACCGCTGCAGTCTCAGAACAGCCTCCGAGGCTGCGGGCAGGCTCACCTGTGAGAATGATGTTGGGGATCCCGCCGGGACCCGGGTAGCCGAGCTGCGGGGCATCGGGCAGGTTCCCGTGGCTGCCCGCCAACCCCATCATCGCCGCCTGCGAGTAGCCGAGGGCTGGGCTGGCGCCATAGAGGCCGCTGGGGCCCATGGCGCTCTCCACCATGTTGAACTGCTCCAGCTGCGGAGCGCATGTGTCAGGGCCCGGCTGGCCCCTGAGCAGGGAGAAGGGGGGACTGGGCGGGGGGCGTCCTCACCTGGTGGGACAGGGCGTTGGCTTGCCGGGCCGCCAGCTGCTGTTCGTAGTAGGCATCAGCGAACACGCCAGCCAGTGCCGAGGTGTGCTGCGGGCAGAGATGACCTGAAGGCCTAGTGGGGACGCTTCCCCGGCCCCCTTCCACCGGGTGAGGCCCCGACCCCCGCTGGCCCCACGGCCCAGGCACTGCCCAGACCTCAGTCTCTGGGGGAGCACCGGGGGCCTGCACCCTCACCCGGGGGTAGGGGTGCAGCTGAGGGGCTGGTGCCCAAGGCCCTTCAGGAAGGGGGACCCCGTGTCTCTGTGGCCAGGATTAGGATTCCGGTCTGGGGGTAGAGGGTCCCAGGGATGGTGAGCGCCCCGGCGTCTGCGGCAGGTGCTGGTGGAAGGTTCTGGACGGGCGCCCCCAGCCAGAGAGATTGCTGAGAAATAAGGCCGTATGTAGCCGTGAGGAGGGTCAGACACGGGTCTGGTAGCTGCGTCTGGGGTGGGGGACAGGTGCTTATCACCTCACCGCACCTGGGCAGGGCTGCCAGGCCAGAGGGGACGGCATGTCTGGCCGGGAGGGCTGTGCTGGTGAGTGGACACGACACCAGCCACGTCCTCCGCGGGGCAAAGTGGGAAAATGGGGGTGGGGGCGGGGTCACTGTCCTTACTTGCGGGGAGCTCCCGGGGGAGAAGCCTTGATTGGAGACGGGCGAAGTGGGGGACTGGTTGGCTGGGGAGCCAGCGTTCGTGCGGTACTGCTGCAGAGCGGGCGCCTGAGGGGACAAGCGCTCAGGACGGGTTCACTGGCCCCCCAGCAGGCGCCCCCCGGGGGATCCAGCCCTAGGAGGAGTTGGGGTACTGACGTCGCTCCGTCCCAGGTTGTCTCAGAGTGCCAGCAGAGGGGAGGCAGGCGTCCCACACGCACTCGCACCAGGCACTGCACGGACTCACGCGGTACCACACACGCAGGGATACACGCAGGCACGGACGCACGCACTGACGCACACGGCACCGACTCACAACCACACGCACAGGGAAAGGCCAGTGACCCGCTGGCAGTCCCGCCTCCTACTCTCCTGTTGCCCTGAAACCTGTTACTGTCATTGAGGAGCACCAACCCCTCGGGGTGCTGCCACATCCTGGCCCCGACCTGACGTGGAGCCGATGGAGCAGGGTAGGGGCTGGGTCCCACGGGAGCAGCGACACCCCTATAGGCCGGCCTGGTGTCATTCCTGACCCCTGGGAACCTGGAGTCTGCCGTGCAGGGATCAAATCCCCGCCCCCCCCAGTTTGGTGTCCAAAGTTCAGTTCTACACTCCCGCCCACTCACCTCAGACCCTCCCGAGCCCCTTCCCCCAGGGCCCTGAGAGTCCCTCGGGTGGGGTCTCCCACGACAGTCTGCGAGTCGAGTCGCTGAGGATGAGACCCCCAACCCGCACCTGCGGGCCGGGCTTACCGAGGCGAGGTCGATGCCCAGCGGCGGCTGGCCGGGGTTCTCTGGGGACGACTGGGGGAGAGAGGGCGGGACTGTGACCACGAGCGGGGGCAGCGGCGGGCCCCGGGTCAGGCTGGCGCTGGGCATCAGGGGGCCACCCGGGGGTGCCGCGCCGGGCACCTGGGGTGGGGGCGGCGGGGGCGGGGGTGGGGGCGGGGGCGGCTGCGCGGCAGGCGGCGGAGGCTGCGGCTGCGGCGGCGGGGAGCCCGCCTGGGCGAAGAAGGTGTAGGGCAGCCGCTGCTCCAGGCTCAGCGCGTCCCTGGCCACGGCCTGCGGGGCGGGTAGGTGGGGCGCCCGTGAGCGACGTCAGCGGGTGGGGGGGGGAACCCCCACTACGAGCTGCAGCTTCTGGAGGAGGGAGCCCAGGGAGGGAGGCTGCGGCGGGGGAGGGGGCCCACTGAGACGCAGGAGCAGGTGGGAGGGTGGGCGAGGTGAAGAGGCTGGGGGCATCCCATGGGGCACCCTCAGGAGGCTCCCAGAAATGGGAGATGGGGTTCAGAGCCTCATCCCAGAAGAGGCAGTGTGACCCCAGCGCTGGACATGCACCCCAAGAAGCCCGGGTGACCAGCATTACTGGGAGCTCCTAGGCATGGTGGGCAGGATGGACACCGTCTCAAGGGGAGGGGGGCCCTGGTCACGAGAAACCCGGGGCAGGCAAGGGCTTGTACCACGTGCCAACCCCCCACCTCTACAGATGAAGCAGCCCGTGGTGAAGCCCCCGCAAAAGACCCCTTAGGGAACACAGGAGCATGCGGGGGATGTTGCACCTCCCCCATCCACCCCTGCGCACCTGCGTTATGGGCGACAGTGGGGACAGGCTGGGAGACACAGGCTGGGCTGGTGGTCGCCGGACCTCGGCACTCAGGGACAGCGGGGTGACGCCAGCTGGGCCATGCTGCGGTGACGTGCTGGGGGTACCAAGCCCTGTGAGGGGGACGGCTGTCACTCACACCTGCTCCGCAATGCCCCCCAAGCGTTCTGGGAGGCGGGGTGTGCCCACACTCCCTGGTCTCCCGCGACCCCAGCCCCTAATGCCCCAAGGCATGAAGCAGGGCCGACTGGCTGAGTGAGAGCCAGATGGGGGGTTCCTCCTCAGGCCAGACACACAGGCCGCCCCAGACCCTCCCTCCCGTCACCCCATGTTGAGTGCACACAGTACCACTCACAGCCAGCGGGGTTGGCCGAGGGGAGGTGGCAATTCCCAGGCCTGGCCTGTGTTCTTCTGAGTCCGGAGCCACCACCCCCCCCCCCCCCGCCACCCTGGGCCCAGCGCACTCCCCTGTGTGGCAGGGTGCGCTGGGGGGCTTCCAAGGACTGGAGGGGGCGGTGCTGGCTGGCGTCTAAGCCTGGGAAAGCCACGCCTGTGGGGGCGGCTGGCTGGGCACGAGGTGTGTGGGGCACAGTCTGCTCCTCAGCTGCTGCTGCTGGCTCTTCGCCAGGAGCTGAGCCGGGGTGTGGGGCAATAGCCCCCAAACCGCTCCCGGCCGCCCCCATATGGCTGCACCCCAGGGTTGCAGGGAACAAGGGCAAGGCAGCAGAATGCAGGGTGTCTGGACCTGGGGGCCCAGTGAGGGCAGTCCTGACTTGGGGAGGCTTCTAGGGACAGGGCTGGTCCTGGAGGAACAGGGGTGACCACGCCGGAGGCCACAGCCTAGGGGTATGTGGGGGCCGCCCTACCCTGGGCGCCGCCGATGCCCAGGTGTGTCAGGGTGGCCGCCAGGTTGCCGGTGCTGCCAGAGCTGCTGAGCGCCGGGAAACTGGGCTCCTCGGGGTCCAGAGGGGTGGGCAGGGGCGAGGGGAAGTGGATGTTGGTCAGGTCGGGCAGGGAGCCCCCCGTGTTGTAAGGGGCAGGCGTCAGGGTGCCGGTGTTCTCCTGCTCAGCAGACGGGAAGATGCTGGTGGGAACAGAGGGCGCAGGTGAGTTGGAGGCGGCGGTCGGGGGCGTCGGGGATGAGGAGGGGTGCCCGAGCCCCAACAAGCACACGGGGACCGCCCACTTACTTGATTCCGGGGACCTCGCAGGACTTGGGCCGGGTCCCTGCCTGAGAGACAGGAGGAGGGGCTGGGGCACAAGCGGTACGAGGCGCACGCGCCACCGGGGTCAGGTCCACCCTGGGTGTGTGTGTGTGGGCGGGTGTGGCCCTAGCGCCATCCACTGAGCTACCCGGCACTGGGCCTGCGCCCCTCGGCCCCGCCTCTTACCGCTTCGGGGTGTCGGTGCTGTCGTGGTGCCCGCCAGCCCCCGGGGCAGCATGCAGCTGTGCACGCGGGGCACAAGGTCCCAGGCACGGTCCCGTCAGGCCAGTGCCAGGCTGGGCTGTGCCATGGCCTCCCTGCCCCATGTCCGACGCGTGCTCCCTTTGCTGGCGGGGTTTCCGGTGCGAGAGGCTCCCCAGGGGCGGAGGGGCGCGCGGCGGGCCAGCCCCGCAGCCCGTACCTTCTTGCCGTCCCACGCCTGTTTGGAAAGGCTCTTGTCCGAATCCGCCGCCGTCTCCTCCATCCCGGGGACGGTCAGCAGTAACACTGGGTGCCGGGCAGAGAAGGGATTCTAGAGCCGGGGGGCCCGGGGGGAGGCCCTGCGACCCTGCCCCTGCCCGCCCAGAGATACTCAGGGCTTCCTCCTGGCTCTGCTCGGGGGACCCTGTGGGATGCCAGGCGAGTGTGCCAGGCGAGCGCCCTCCCTCCCTGCTGTCTTTCTGCTGGTACTCCTTATGTCCTGAATGAGCGGAGTAAGCTCGGGCAGGCACCCGCGTTGGTCCCTGGGCACGACGGGCGGCCCGCAGGTGGGCTCTGGACAGTGGGCCCTGGGAAAAGGCTGGGTCCTGCTGAGCTCGACAGCGGGCCCACGGGGCTGAGGCTCAAGGGTTCACAAACCTGCACCCCTTCTGCTTGACCACTTACGGGCCGACCTGAGTCCATGACCGGAAGTTGAGGAGCCTTGCCTAGAAAATGCCTAGGCATCCCTCAAAACCCCATCCAAGGAGTGCCATGTCCGAAGGCCTCACCCCTCTCCTGGCCCCAACCACAGTCGTCCTTCCTGGGTCCAGGAGCTGGAAACGTGGACCCTCGGCGTGGCGGGCAGGCGGGGGGTGTGGGGACGTACCTCTCTTCTGGTGCGCGTCCTGGGAGCCCCCGGTGAAGGGCTCCGGCTGCGTAGGCGTCATCGTGCTCTGGTGCAGGGCCGAGTCTGAATTGGTCCTGGGGGACAGAAGGGGCCCCGGGGTCAGCCCCTCCCCACGCTGGAGGGCCATCCCCAGCGTCTCTTGGGGCTCTGCTACAGGCTGTGGGGGAGACAGTGGGATACTCGCAGCGTAACAAGAAGGTTCTAGTCGCCCATGGGACAGCTGCAAGGTGTGGCGGAGCTAGCAGATGACCTCTGCCTCAGGGACATGGCAAGGAGCAGTGCGCCCCACACACAAGGTGGCCACTGGGGTGCCCTCCGGAGGATCTTTTTTTTTTTCATTTTGGTCACACCCGGCGAAGCTCAGGGGTTACTCCTGGCTCTGCACTCAGGAATCACTCCTGGCGGTGCTTGGGGGACCATATTGGATGCCGGGGATAGAACATGGGTCGCCCGCATGCAAGGCAAACACCCTCCCTGCTGTGCTATCACTCCAGTCCCTCCACAGGGTCTTGATGCCCCATCCCCATGGCCCGGACTGGACCCTCAGGAGTAAAAGGGAACGTGTCCCCAACGCCCACGTTCACGGCTCCCAATGCACAAGTGTACACCCTGCCCCCCCATGACGCGCACATGCACCGCCCCTGCCCCCTGCCCCGGGCAGCCTGGCAAGGCAGGGGAGAGGCTGGATGCTGGCCTGGGTCTCACAGGGGCTCACTGGGTGCTGACCTTCTCCAGCTGGTGTCGGCAGGAGGTGACAGGTACACGGTGCCATAGGGACAGCTGTCAGTGTGCGCCAGAGTCAAGGGCTGCAAGCAGGCGTGGGCTGTGCACACCCCCCTAAGGGTCCCCAGTCCTGACTCAACTGGGCAGGGTGGGCTCAGAGCTTAGGGAACTGATTTTCAGCCTGGCCTGGCCCCTCAAGACCCCGCCCCTTACTCACATCTTCCCCGAGGGACCTCATTCAGATTCCAAGGGGAGGGTCCCCACGTGCTGATCAAATTTTGCCTTCCCCAACCCTCACCATGGGCACCTGTTTCAGCAGCCCTCTCTACATCCTTCGCTTGACCAAGTGTGGCGCCGCTGCCTCCAGAAGTCCTCCCAGTAGATCCTGATGCTATCCAAGGGCTGGAGGCCAGCACCCAGCCCGGGCAGAGACTTGGCCACCAACAGTGGCCAAGAGGACCCCATGAAAGGATATCTGTCTCCCATGCTTGTCCACGGACAGGGGCCTGCGGTGTGGGGAGCCGAGCCGGCCGCGCTCCCGGTACACTCTGTCCACCAGCCCGTGGTGCCGGGTGGTGCGGCTGGTGTCCAGGCCTGAGGACTGGAACGGGGTCTGGCGGGGGCAGGGCAGGAGAGACACCCGGATGGTGGTTATCTACGCAGGCGAACACACCTTGTGTCTGCCCGATCGCCCTGCACACGGGCGGCAGGGCGGGGTTGCTCGGGGTCCTGGGCGCCGGTGGGCGGCAGGCGTGCAGCACGGCGGGCATGCGCGGGCCAGGCAGAGCGGCGGAAGCTCGAGCCGACGGGCTGGCCAGGGTGCCAGGGGTGCAGGCAGCCGGCCCCCCTCGCCCTCACTAGGTGCTGATGGGCCTCCGCCCTCCAGTCCCCACCTACGTCATCCCCGGCGGGGCTCCCGGCCTAGTCCGTAGGGGGTCACAGCCCTCGCCCCCCTCCAGCTCCCCATCCACCTGAGCTACGCCCAGGCGGCTGGGGCACCCGCGGCTAGATGTGTGTCCCTCCAGCCCGCGCAGCTCGCTCGGTTCTGAGCTCGGAGCCCGGCGCCATCTGATGGGGAGCCGCGGCCGTGCCAGCTCTGGACCCGCCCCCCTCCTCCCTCCCGCCCCCCCGCCAGCCATCTGGCCCTTGAAGGGCTCTTATGTCCTCTCCGGGCAGCAGCCGCTTCCCTCCAGAAGGCGCCCCAGGGCGAGGCTGTCGCCGTCCCCGGGCACGATGCCAGCAGCCGGAGTCCTGCCCCATCTCCGCGCCCGGGGTGGGGGCGGCAGAACTGAGGCAGCTCTGCTTTGGGGGGGGGTGGGGGGGGACAGGCGGCCAAGCAGGGCCGGCGGGGCTGGCGCTGGACAGCCCGCCGGGCTCAGGCTTGGCGCGCGGGTCATGCAGCGTCGGGCGCATGCCCGGAGCCTGGGGCCGCCCATCCCTGCCTGTCTCCCGGCGGCCATGGGGGAGGCACCCTGTGCCAAGCACATTATGGAGCCGCGGCAGCAGCCCGGGGGCTCGATTACCAGAGAAACTGGAGCCGCTGCCAGGGCGTCCCCCAGAAATCCGCCGGGCTGAAAATCAAAGACGGACACTGAGACGCTCCCTGCCTTGGGGGCCCAGGGGACTCGCGAGGGTCCGGCAGGGCCAAGCTGGAGGTGGGTGCACGGACGCTGTCCCGGAGGGGAAGAGGGATTTGGGGGACCCTGAGAAAAGGGGGCTGGAGTGGGGAGCCCAGAGGTAGACGCCACAGACACACCCGGGTCAGTGTCGGTGCTCCCTGGTCATCAGCAACAGAGTCGGTCCCCTTGGGGGTGTACCCTGAGCCAGGGCGGGGTCCTCAGACCTGCCCCAGAGGGCGGGGCTGGGTGGGGCGGGCCTCCCCGGGCCTGCCTGTCAGCACAGGGTGGCCTGGGCTCTGTCTCTGGCTGAGGCACCAGCTCTGCGGCCAGCACCCCGACACCAGCTGGGGGGTCTCGGTCCAGGGGGCGGCCCCGGCTCACCTGGAAGGGCAGGTCGGCGGCGCCGCTTCCGATCTGGTTGACGTTGGGCAGCGAGCCACCGTAGTACTGGCCGCGGCTGGGTCCCAGCTGCAGGTACTGGGTCTTCTGAAGCTGGAGCTGCAAGAAAGGGCACAGCGGCAGCTGTGGCGGCACTGCCAGCCTTGGGGTGCCAGAGCACTCGGTGCTTGGACAAGGCCTCAAACCCGGGGGCCCCCCAAAGTACCCCGTGCCCTGAGGTGAGCCCCCAGATCCAGGCTTGGTCAGCTTCCCTGAGAGAATGTCTGTAGCAGCACCCCGCCCCAGACAGGAGCAAGAGCCCATAGAAGGTTCTGGCAAAGGGACTTGGGGGATGGGGAGGCGCAAGGCAGGAGGGCCCAGCATGCACCCACAGGAAGTTGGGGTTTAGTGGGGAGAGTGCCCAGACCCACTCCTGCCACGCGCCCCTCTAGGGCCTCCATCTCCTCCCTTCTCCCTCTTCTCGCCAAGATCACCAGGCCCTCCAGGGCGGAGCCTAGCAGTGGGCAAGGAAGCGAGGCCCCCAGGAGCCAGCTGTGCTGAGACCCTGGGACCCTTCACACGCCCCCCACAGACATCTGTGCCGCCGCCACCCAGGAGCGGGCGCCCGGCGGCGAGCCGGCTGATTAAAGCATTCCGGGTCCTGTTTGTGTAGCTGGCTCTGTATTTACGCTCCGGACGAGCTGGGAGGCAGCTGGCGAGTGTCTGGGACACCGGGGGGCCTGCATTCATTCACCGGGGTCCTGTCCAGACATATGCGAGCCCCCTCATGGGGCCTGCACAGCTGACCCAGACACAGCCGCCAGGCAGGACCGAGATATTCTAGAACTGGGGGGCTGCACAGAACGCCGCTGAGCACATGGGTGGGTTTCTCTTTGGAGCAAAGAAAAGGTGTGAAATAGCTCCAGGGTCCCTGTCCCCCACCTTGGGGACCTGTGCTGGGGTAGCTGGGGGTGTCTCGACTGTTTCAGTTCATGAGTGCAGGAAAAATGAACGCTGTGCTGAGTCTGGCACCCACCAGTCGGGTACCCCCTCCTGCTGTCTGGGGGAGATAGACACGGTGCCCTGGGAGAGATGAGTGTTGAGGGCTCCCGTCTGGTGCCCCGGGGACATGGCTGCCCCTGTCGCTCCATTCTGCCCATTTGCTGGGGTGCCTCAGGCCACCCTTGATCCCCAGGACTCTGAGCTTGTCTGGAAAGGGGTTGAAGGGCCTAGGGGTGCTGTCTTCCTGGGTTCCTGGGAAGGGTGTAGGCACCAACCATCACTTGCAGATGAAGATGGGTGGAAGAGCTAGAACCATAGTACAGCAGGGATGGTGCTTGCTTTGCATGCGGCTGATCCGGATTCAATCCCTGGCATCCCAGAGGGTCCCCTGAGCCCTGGCAGGAGTGATTCCTGAGCCAGGAGTCAGCACTGAGCACCACCAGATGTGGCCCCAAACCAACATTAAAAACAAAACAAAAAATAAAGATGGTGGAGGGGGAGACCCAGCCCCCCTTCCCAGTTCCCCCCACATCATCACACACCACACGGCCTCCCCTTCCCTGGGGGGGGGACCTCGCATCAGGCTCACCTGCTAACACCTGCCAGCACCCCATTTGCAAATACGCTGCTGAATCCGGATGGGAATGTGTCTGGGCCAAACCACCCACATGCTGTCCCACCCCAGCCTGTGTCCCCGGATCCAGGTACTCATGTCAACACAGGCTGAAATTGGGGAAACGTTCAGGTGGCCCCACATCAGCAGGCCCTGGGGCCCGACGGGAGCTGTACTACCGGCACTCCAGACCCTTCAGCCCACATCAGGCAGGAACTGGGCTCGGCCACCCCCACCTGGGGAACCAGGGGTCTGCAGGGGAGCCCATACGGACCCAAATGGGCCACGGTGGGGGATCAGGCTGTACACACACCCTGGACACAGTGGCCTGCCCACAGTTCCCCCAACAGCGCAGGAAGGGGGTCCCTAAAATGACCAAGGTCCATATGGTGTCCAGCTTGGGGACCGCTGTGAGCTCCCGCCCTGAGCCCAATATGAGCCAGGCCTCACCTGAAAATGGGTCTTCTTGGAGTCCATCGAACTGGGGGAGGTAGGGATCACAGCCAGGACCCCTGGGCCTCCAGAGTACCCCCATAACCCCAGATGCAATGAGTTGATGGGGGGGCGCACCCAAACCCTCCAACAGGCCCACAACAGCCTCCTCCTGCCTGGCCCTACAGGGGCATAGGTGCTGGCTGCTCTCTTCCAGAACATCTCGGCACATGCCCTGGGAGACGCCACCTTCAGCACTCCATCACCCAGTAGGGACAAACCCCGGGGACCTCAGGTCGTAGGCAGGTGCCACCCTCCACTCAGGGTCCCCGGGCAGGTGCGCGGGGTTCCTAGGCTGAGCCTGGAGCAACATACCTGGAGATAAGACAAAGGCCAGATGATAGCCCTGTTCCGGCCACAGGCTACAGCTGCGGCTAATGCAACGGGTCGCTGTGGTCTGGGAGGTCTGGCCAGCGCACCCCACGATCTGGGGAAACCCTCAAGCCACAGGGCAGCGGGCGGCCCACGGACTCCGTGGCCCCCGCCTCTCCCTGTCCCCAACCTGATACTCCATCTGCGCCCCCCCCCCCTGTTCAAAGGGTGCGACTGCGCCTGCTGTTCGTGCCCCCAGAGGGCGCCATCCTGCTGGTCACAAACTCCCCCGGGAGCCGCCCCGACACGCCCTACGCCCCCGCCCCCGCACGTATGTCCACAGCGGGGGAAGCATAGGTGAAACAGAGGGCCCGAGGGGAGGGTGCCTGCGACCCTCCTGCCAGGATTCCTCGTAGGCCCCCACATTCAGGATATCACACGCACAGCTCTTAGGACGCGGCACTGCAGCAACCTGCGTCCCCTTCACCCACCCAACACCACTTTTCCACACCCCTGACCCCTGACCCCGCACCACGCCCACACCCCCGCCCCCAACCCTGCCCACCACCGCCCCCGCTCCCCAGCTCCCCAACCACGCCCACAGCCCTGCCCCCAACCGCCCCGCTCCAACCCACACACAGCCCTTCCCCAACCACGCCCACACCCCGCCCACAGCCCTGCTCATTACCATGCCACGCCCATACCTCGCCCCTGCTCTTTACTATACTCGACCATGCCCACTGCTCTGACACGCCCCGCCCCGCCCCCATGCCTGGTCTTTTCAGGTGCCTCCGAAAGAGACAGCTGGTCCCAACTCTGCGCCCAGACCCCAAAGGACCGCATCCACCCCCCTGCTGTGGAGAGGAGTGTCTGATAGACCCTGTCACCACCCCACCCTGAGTCACCTGATCCCAAATTGACCCTCCAGTTCTGTGCTCTAGTCTGCTATCACTGCAGTCCTGGGCAGGGGCTCCTCCTGCAGGCAGTACTCCTGGTTTGCCCTATGCACTTGTCTCTCTCTGCAGCCAGCAGCCCCCGGGGTGACCAGACTACAGTGCCACTGTGTGTGGGTATTGCCAGTCAGCACTTCTCACAGGTAGGAAATGGACAGGGTGCTGGGTCATTGGCCAGGGTCTCCTGTGCACCTAAGAAGATGGGAAGGACCCCCAGTTGACAGTACAGCCCCTGCACTGCCCATGAATGGATTTGCCAGTTTTCCCAGAGTTGGAAAAAAATCCCACTTAAAGTGTCTGGAATCCACAGGGACAAGATCCCAAAGCACCAAGACACGCCCCCCCCCCATGCCCTGCGTTCAAACTTCCTTACACCACAAATACGCTGAAGATGGGGGCGACACAGCAGAGGGGCCCCAGGGCAGGTGCAGGATCCCTTTGATTGCACAATCGCATCCTAAATGGAAGACTCGTGTCCCGGGAAATGCCAGGCCCCCCCCCCCCCAGCAGAGGGAGGGCTTCATGCTCGGATTCCAGGAACACACGGAGGCAGGGCTGGAGGGAATCTCTGCCCAGAGGCAGGAGTACAGCGCGGAGGGCGCTGGTCTGGCGCACCACCCACCCGGGCTCAGTCCCCAGAACATGCTATGGTTCCCTGAGTGCAGTCAGGAGTCAGCCTGAGCATCGTCGGGTGTGGCCCCCAAGCCAACAAACACCCAACAGCCTGGCATGGCACTGAGGGGGCACCACCCTTAGCCCAGCCCTGGAGGTGAGGGCAAGCGTGGGAAACAGTCATGGGGTGGTCCCGGGAAAGACCCTAGTCACGAGGTCGAAGATGAAGTGCCACGGCAAGGGGGAAATCCGGCCCAGTGGGGGGATGGGCAGCCCCCCATCTCCACCCAGGTGGAAGCCCTACAGGAGCAGCTGGCTGCAGTGCAGGTGGGGGTGCCCCAGCCCCCAAGCTTTCCCAAGCACCCCCAGACTCCCCAACTGGCTTAGCACCATGACTCCTCCCAAGAGCAAGTGCCCTGCATAGCTCACACCCAGAGCTGGCCCCGGGGTACATAAGGACATGGAGCCCAAACCTTCTCCTACAGCCGGTTCCTGAGGTGGCTCCCTACCCGGACAGACGGCCCGAGAGGCGGAAGGAGAGGGGCAGCTCTGCTCCCCTCCCCCTCCAGATGCACCCACGCTACCCTGCTGCAGTCCTTCGGGACCCCCAGGCCTGTGTCCACAGAAGGAGGAGTCCAGGTGCCGGTCAGGTGGCACCCCGGGAGGAAGTGGGGGCCCCCGCCCCGTGCCGCTTTCAGAGGGTAAATATTGACACGCAGCATCCTGGGCCATGCCCAGTGCTTCCGTGTTTGTGCACCTGGACCCCCAGACGCCGGCCCGGCAACCCCACACACTTGCACACCTTTGTCCCCCCCACTGCCCACTTGGGGCTGCAGGACACCAGGGCCGCCAGTGACCCCACCAGACCCTGGATAGGTGGCTCCGAGGAAAAGCGCATGGGGGGGACCCCAGGCAGCTCCATACCCTGATCTGCTGCTGGGCGCCCGTGAGGGGTCGCGGCCCACCCTCCCTGAACTGCACGTCCTTCCAGAACCTTCCAGACTTCCCACAGACGTCACGCCAGGCACAGCTCCCCAAGTTTGAGGCAGACGCTCACTCCAAAGTGGTGAAGAAGGAGCATTCGCTCCTGACAGCTCCTCCCTCAGTGCGCGCCCTCCTGGGGAGCTGCCTCCCCCTTCCCGAGGCTCTGGGGAAGCCCTCCCAAAGCCAGGGCCCCCCAAGACCCCCATATGGGTCCCACCTGTGCCTCAGTGTACCCATCTGCAGGGGCCCTGAGTCCCGGCGTGGTGAGTCACCCTAGGGCCACACCCCAGCAGGGCTTTAGGGGTGTCCCAACTCTTGTGTCTAGGGACTCGGGACGCCTTGGCTTGTGGCTTCGCCCTGACTCTGAACTCAGGGTCCCACCTACACCCCAACCGCAGCGGCAGAGGTTCTTTCCAGTCCAGGGCATGGGAGGGACACCCGGGTCTGGGACATGCCTCCCACCTGTCAGCACAGCAGGTACCCCCCACGCTGCCCTCACAGGCTCCAGCCTGCCCCTCGCAAGGGTTCTGCAGGCCCTGCCCAGGGTGGCTGGCATGGGGGCGGTGCCCGGCACCCGTGTCAGCATTCGAGGTGGTACACACACGACACAGATGTGTGCCATGTGCTACATGCATGAACATGTACACAGGCACGTGTACACACACAACATACATGTGTACATGTATGCACACAGAAATACATGCATGTATGTGCACACAAACACATATACATGTATATGCATGCTCAGCAGGACAGACAGTCCAAGGGTAGCAGGCACGCACGTGCAAACTCGAAACCCAGCCCTGTCCGGGGGACGCCTCTCAGCACTCTGAGGGAGACACCCAGACAGTGGAACCCCTGAAATGTTCTGGAAGCAGGCCAGTGGGTTCTCTGAGCTGTGTTCCCAGGAGGTGTCTGAGACCCCCATACAGAACCACGCCCGGGGAGAGACCCCCGACTATGGAACCAGGCCTAGGAGTCACGCATCCCTTGGTAAGAGTTGCTCAGGGAACAGTTCCGCAGACCTGCTCCCCAAGACTTCCAGTGCCAGGGCCTGGCCTGAGGCCCCTGCATGTACACAGGTGACGGCACCAACACTCCAGCCACAGCGCCCCCAGCAGCAGGGCCACAATGCTGCCCTTTCCCCCTGTGGGACATGCAGTCTGCCCACGGCGCCCCCTAATCCCCTGATCCATACACACTCCCAGTCTCGGTCTCAGTCACACACGCACTCATGCCGTCAGTCACCGTTTACCTGTCCATCTGCTCCAGTCCTTCACTCATTCACTCCTACACTCATTCCTTCACTCGTTCATTCATTAACTCATTCAATTCACCCTTCACTCATTCAGTCATTCATTTATTCATTCACTCATTCATTCACTCACTCTTGGGCCTTCTCTTAATCACTTGCTCATTCATTCATTCATTTGTTCACACAACTATTCATGCACTCATTCAGTGCTTCCCTCATTCCTTCATCCACATGCACTCAAGCTCCACCGATCATTCCTTTGCTCCCTGCTCCTTCACGTAACAGTCACCTCTGCACGACATGGGGACAGGGCAACGACGACAGGGAAATGCAGCTGTTGACAGGGGTTTGGGGGGGCCAGAGAAACACACCCACCCATCCCCTGCAGAGCTGCACTCTGGGTCGCCTGATGCCAGCATCCAGGCCCAGTCCCAAGTCCTGAAGACAGGAGCCTGGGTGGCAAGAGGGCACATGGGCAACCCAGCCCCGGGAGGCGCCACCTGGTTGCTGGCCCACAGCAAGGATGGTGACAACACCAGGGGACCTGCTAGGGATCAAGAGATCAGGAGGCCCAGACGTGGAGTTGGCATCAGAGCTGGGCCAGGAGGCAGTCAGGGCCAGCACGCCAAGTCAGGGGAGTGTGTGAGCACCCCGGCACCCCAGCACTGAGCCACCAGCTGCCTGTCCAGGGTTGCAGGGGGACAGGAGGCAGGAAGGGGTAGCGCTCCCGTATCCCGGCACACCCGACAGCTGGCACAGAGGGCCTGCGTGGGAATCGGACAGCAATGTGGGCACCTCTGGACTCTGACGGGGGGGGGGGGGGGGGGGGAGGTGAAAATGGCACAGGTGTGTCATCCCTCAGCACCAAAGCCATGGGAACTGTATCCTCTCCCTGTCCGTGACACGGGCACCTGTCCCCCCTTCCTGTCCATGACATGGGCTCCCATCCCTCTTCATCTGTGACATGGGCACCTGTCACCCCTCCCTGTCTGTGACACGACTTCCTGTTCCCTCTCCCTGTCCATGACACAAGCACCTGTCCCTCTTCCTGACACGGGCACCTGTCCCCCTCCCTGTCCGTGACATGGGCACCTGTCCATCTACATCTGTGACACAGGCACTTGTCCCCTCTCCCTGCCCGTAACACGGGTCCCTATTCCCCCTCCCTGTCCGTGACACAGGCACCTGTCTCCTCTCCCTGTCTGTGACACGGGCACCTGTCCCCCTTCGTCTGTGACACGGGCACCTGTCCCGTCTCCCTGCCCATGACACGGGCACCTCTCCCCTCCCCACATAAACTGTTCTCCAACCTCACCCACAGTCGCCTGCCTCCTACTGGCAACCCTTGGGGGGCCTGTCCTTCCAGAAAGGGTGCTCAGGGGCTCCTGTCCGGGAACAGGTGTCATGCACATCCCAGTGGCACCGCGGTGTCCGTCCTGCTCACGGTGGCTGACAGGTGACCCGGTCTCCCTAGCGGTCCTGTCCCCTCTGGCTGTCGGGGAGCTGGCGCCTGGCGCACTGCCCTGTCTCCTTCGGGTACAGGTGATGCGGGCACCTGTGCCCCCAGTCCCCTCCAGGCGCCCCTCTCCTGCACGCGCCCTGCACGCGGACACCTGCCAGCCGTCGCGGAGCACCTGTCTCACACCCGGCGCACGGACGACGCCGGCACCTGCCCCGCCAGGTACGGCCGAGGGGGGCCCTGCGCGCGTGCAGGCGGTGGAGACACCTGTCCCGGCGCGCGCCCGCCCCGCCCCCGCCGCGCGCCCCCGCCGCGCGCGCTCGCCCCGTCCCGCCCCGGGGTCGCGCGCAGCCCGTACCCGCGCGGCCCGCGTCAGGCTCAGGTCCTTCATGACCTCCTCGAAGGCCGCCGTCTCCTCCGCCTGCTTCTGGTTGTGCAGCGCGATCTTTTCGCTGAATTTCCGCGGATTGTTCGAAGTCGCCATCTTCTCGCCGCCGCCTCCTCCGCCTCCTCCACTCCGCGCCCCCCACCCCGCGCCACCGCGCAGGCGCCGGCCGGGCCCGCGGGCAGTGGCCAGTGCGCTTGCGCGCGCGTGGCGCAGGCGCACGGGGAGAACGCGGCGGCGCGCACAACGCATGCGCGCGCCTCAGGGGCTCCAAAGAACCCACGAAGGGGGGAGCGGCGAGTGCGGTGAGCCCGCGCAGGCGCACTACGTTACCTCCTGCCCCGCTGGACAGCGGCCGCCTGGCTGCTGGCCGCGGTCCGCAGACCGTCTGGGGTCCTGGAGCTCCAGGTAGGGAGGAGGTGGGAACACCTGTCCCCTCCGGGTGGGGGGTGCTATGGGAGCATCTGTGCCCCGCAAATAGGGGTGACGTGAGGGGTCCTGCAGAGGGATGGGACCTGGCGTTGCCCAGGGCAGCAGTCGTCCCTTCGCTTGCCATTCATTCCACTTACCCAGTTCGCCTCATCCCTGTGCGCCGCACTGGCCGCTCCCAGGCCGGGACAGGCGGGGGTCTCGGCCCCGCCCACCTACCCCCACCCCCGCAGGCCTCCGTGAGCGCAGCCAGGGATAGCAGGCAGGCCCGCCCGCCCACGTGTGACCCAGAGGGTTCCCAAGGGCGAGACAGTGACGTGGACGCTAAATGAGGCTGATGGGGGACCAGCATGGGGGGGATCCCAGCAATTATGATCAGGAAATTGTGGGGATATGGGGACTGAGCCAAGGGAGCTCACAGCAGCCCCCAGCCCAAACAAGAGCACCGCCCTTAAACCTGCCTCGAGGACCTGTCCTCTGACCCCTCACTCCGACGCCTGCATCCTGCCAGGGCTCCCAGCCAATCCCAACCAATCTGGGGCAGAAGGGCCCCCACTTCCCAAGTTGGCTTCTGCTGAGCAGCTGACTCTTCCCAGGCTGGGGCCCCCACCAGGGTTCCTGGCCCATCTTAGGGGCTCCTGGAATTTGGGAGCACAGCGAGTGGAAGCCAGGAGGGGCATGGAGCGGGTAAATGGGGGGCTGAGTGCACCCCCTTTCTCACTGGGGAGAGGTCCCTGGGGGCTGCAGGACACCCACATTTTCCAAATAGCCTTTTCTTCACTCTGATTCACAATAACTAACTGGTTGCCACAGCTGATCTAACTGCACAGAGGATCCAGGATGTCCCCACACTGCCCTTCTTGTTCACAAGCTTTGGGGAACGCTGAGCCTTTGTGCTTAGCAGACATCTATCTATCCACTCTTCCAAAGTTTGTAGCTGATCCCCTCTTTAGGATATTCACGTCCCTCCTGACTTCCTTCTCCCCTGTCCCCCCTGTAGGAAGATGTCATGCCTGCCTGTGGCCCATTCTGTCCAAGGACATCCCTCTCTGCAATCTTTGGATGAGTCGTGGAGAAAAACAAGTCTCTTTGCTTGGGTTGCTGGTTTGAGGGGATAACACGAGTCTGCAGTGCCAATTCAACAGGTCAAGACAGAGGGACTAAGAGTGAAAGCCAGAGGTACACATGGTCTGGGGTCCTGGATCCAGCCATGCCTGGAACTCATTCCTTATTACCTGAGCCAATGGTGGATTCCCTTTCTCTATGGAAGCCGACCGGAAGCCATGGTGCCTGGCTCTCTGATGTGGACTGACACTGCATTTTGGGGGAGTCTTGTATGGGAAGCCACCTTCTGTGCAGGAGACCCCTCCTCATTCCTGCCTGTCTGGGAAGAGGGAATAGGCGAGGGAGGGGCCAGGGGCAAGACCGGAAGTCATTGTTGACTTTGTTGGAAAGGTCTGACCTGGCAGGAGTGTGGTGGCCAAGCACAGAGGTGGCACAGGGAGACAGAGGGGCCACACAGAAAAGGTGTGCATACAGGGTTCAGGGCTGCCCCCCCCCCCCCCCCCCGCTTTCCTCCAGTGCACCCCCACCCGGTCGTAACTCGATCTGTCCTGAGCCCTGGGGATGACTCAGAGGAAGCCGCCAGCATGCCAATTGCGAAAGTGCACTTGGTGACCAGGCTGTGCTCTCTGGCCATGGACCCCTGGGCTCAAGTAGGGGGTGGTGGGTGGCCTGGGTCTTGGTTAGTCCCCAGTCTGGCTCTGGCTTAACCTCAGGCCCCCTGGACGGGGGAATATCCCCTTCCTCTCTAGGCACGGCTCCTGCAGTCCTTCCCTCTGCGGCCTGGCAGCAGCGCTGAATGAGCTCACGTCTCGACACACAGGGCCTTTCCCTGCTCACCCAGCGCCCGGGGTCTCCCCAGAGCTTCATCTGTGCTCCTCTTGTGACCTGATGGGAGGCAAGGTACAGCCGGGGAGTTGGTAAGTCAGTCTTTGGCTGAGTGAGTTTCCTTTTCTGCCTGGGAAACTCCTACTCATCCCTCAAAACCCACCACAAATACTCCCTCCCCAAGAAAATACCTCCTGACCCAAAAGGAGAGCTGCCACTGCTCTTGCCTCCCCTATTGGGCTTGCCCAACCCTGGGTCCTCCTGCCGCACCTCCAGGCGAGTGCTAAGAGTCGTGTCCCATGGCCTGCAGGCAGCACCTTTTTTCCTTCTTTGTTCAGCTCATCATGCTTCAAGCCTGCTCCTCACCCCACTGGCCCTACCCCAGGAACATTGCACACACTCCTCCTGTAAAGCTTCCAAATTCAGGAGCAACCCCAAACTCAACTCCAGCCCATGGTGACTAGAGGACAGAGCCCTGTCTTGCTCAATGGGCTCAAGGGGAGACAAGCCAGTCAGAGAGACAGAGACAGAGAGTCAAAGATGTGAGAGCAACGCAGATAGAGGAGACACAGAGAGACAGACACAGAGAGACAGACAGACAATGCAGAGCATAGATAGGCCGGAAGCTCTGACCTCTGTATCTTACAGGTATATGGTCCCTTGGCCTGGCGTGTCTACATCAAATTATCTGGAACCCTGGGAATCCTAGGGGGCACCCACACTACCAGAGGGTGAACGGGATACCTGCATGGCCTGGGGGTGACTAGGCAGGGGAGCTGAGAAGGCGAGTGAGGAACCCAGGTGGCTGACCCTGGGCCTCGTCTGGGCTGGCCTTGGGCAGGGTGAGGCAAGGTCTTCGCCCACAGGCAGCACAAGGCATAGATGTCTGGGGGCTCCCCATGGGAGCTGCCAGGACTCGAGCGTAGGCCTTTGTGGCCATAGAGGGTGGGTGGTTACAGAGGTGGCATCAGGGCCAAACACCAGAGGTCAAAAAAGCTCCCCAGCCCACCCCCCTGGAACTCTCCATCCAGCAAATCCTGCTGTTTTGTGAAGCCTGATTCTCCCACCTTCCACTCCCTCCCCCAGCTCCTGGTCTGCTGACAAAAACCCCACACCCTCAGGAAGGGGAGCCGGCTGGGAGCAGGCTGCGCCAGCACTGCCTTGACTTGCCCCTCATGGCCACAAGATGGCTGCAGAAGCTCCTGGCACAGCATCCACAGAGGAAGCAGCAGCAAGGGCAGTTTGAAAAGGGGACAGAGGATCTCCCCCCGGGTCCCCAAATCTTCATCCAAGAACCCACCCCCACCCCAGGACATACACACACAGACACAGACACACACACACACACACACACACCCAAGCCTGCTGGCCAGAGCTGGGAAAGGTGCCCAGACCCCAATAGCCTGCAGTGGGCCCAGCCAAGTTCCAGATTAACCCTCAGCCCCAGGCTGGTGGGGCATAAGGCCCTGGAGCCAGGAAGGTGAGCTGGCAGCAGGGACAATCTGGACCGGGTGTGGGGGGTTGACAGGTGGGGTCGCCAGGAGGGCAGTCCCACCCCCAATGCCGAACCCTCGGCCGGGCGCTGCACGCACCAGCCCAGGTGCCCCTCAGAAGCCAGCGCCAGGGCCGCGGTGGGGAGCAGAGAGCGGGGCCGGGCCCGTGAGAACACAGCAAGTTCCCGAGGCGAAGCCAGGGGCGCGTGTCCAAGCTGGCCCGGCTGCTGCCGATTCCCCGCGCACGCGGTCCCTGGGGGGCCCCGGCCCTGCTCCGGGAACGACCCCATAAGTCACACTTGGCTGCCTCCTCCCGGGCCCACAGCCCACCGGACCCCCTGGGAGCGGTCTTTTCCCACAGCCAGGCCCAGGTGCGAGAGCTCTTGCCGGGACATCTGGCCGTGCAGCTTCCGCGCTCGGGCCACGGCAGCGGCCACGACAGCCACGGGTGGGCGTGGGGGGCGGCGGCGAGTGGGGGGTTGAGGGGCACGCGCGCGCACGCACATGCAGGGGTCCCAGGGCGTGAGGGTCGTTGGTGCGTGTGCGCGTGCGCCGTCCGCCTGTCTCTGCAGGACGCAATCCTTCAGAGTGAAGATTCAAGCCAGTTTCCGCTAAATTAAAAACAGCTTTTTCGTGTTTAAAGTTTACAACACGAAAAATAATTTTCCTCTAGTGGGTGCGGGGGGAGGGGGGAGGGGGGCGGGCGACTGCTTTTGGGGGGATGGTGGAGGAGCGGGAGGGGCAGGGGCCCTCAAGAACATTCCATACGCCAGTCCAGACGGTTCTGCACAATCGCCCCGTTAGATACGCCCGAGCTCCCGCCCGTCGCACCCCTGCCAGCTCGCTGGGGACAAGATGTTCTGAGGTGTGAGCTGATGGGGGACTTGGAGCTGGCAAAGGGTTCTCCCTGTCCCCCTCCCCACCCCAGCCCCTGTGCAGAGAGGGGAATTAGGGTGGGCGGAGGGGAAGGGGCTGGAATGTTCTAGTAAGTCCCCATGGGCCGCAGCTTTCCGATGCCCCTGGCATCATGGGCTCCTTCCTGATTCCCAACCAAATTCCGAGGTTAGCACCCGTGTCCCCGCCCCAGCTGCAGAGTGGGGGCGCCAGGCCCCAGATAAGTTTGGTGTTTGGGGTGTTTTGGGTACCTGCCCAGCGGTGCTCAAGGATGACTCCTGCTCTGCCCCCGGGGCTACCCCAGCAATGCTTGGTGGGGGTGGGAGGTGCCCAGATCGAACCAAATCACCGGCTTCCAAGACCTGTGCCCAGCCCCAGCGCATACCACCAGGAGCATTTGAGGGGGGCCTGGGGAGGGGGCTGTTCTCAGAACTCCAAGCCCCCAGGAAGAGGTGCACCCTGGGACTGAGCAGACAGCCTGCCCCGCCACTCCGCCCACTGACGCCCCCACCCCAGCCCTGAGCGTGGGCTGCCCCTCCCCCAGAAATGCTACCAAGAGGGAAAGCAGAGGGGCGAGGCGCCCAGCCAAAGACACCAGGGATATGATTGGGGGGCCCAGCGGCTCAGTGCTGGGCATGCTCCCCTTTCCACCGAACCCTTTTATTAAAGGGACTGGGGGGTCAGCATCAACTGAGGTGTGAAGTCAATCCTCTGTGTGGTCAGGGATAGGGGTAGCAGCAAAGGAGCCCTCGGAGCTGCCCGAGGGCATGCGGCCCATTGACCAGTCTGAGGGGCTGACCTCTGGCCGACTGCACCCCTAAAGAAAGGGCTGGTGACCAGGAGCAGGCCCAGGGGCTTCCTCCAGAGACAAGTGCAGCCCCACGGCTCCTGGGCCTTGGTCAGGCTGGCCCTTGGCACCAAGGCAGCACAGGGACAGAAGGTGCGACGACCCCCAACCTCCAAGCCACAGACCAAGACTAAAGGGGGGTGACAGAACCAGAGCAGGTGCCTGGGGGTTCGGCTCCTGTGGGCCAAAGGCAACAGGCCGCTTAGAGAGGTGGCAGGAGCACTCAGAGTCCGGAGGTCAGTGGCAGAGGGGCCCAACAGGGATGAGGGGTCCCAGGAGTTTGCTGCTCCTCAGGCTGGGCCCTTGCAGACCAGGAGGGTCTTGGGTGAGCTAGGCCTGCATACAGGGTGGGCGGAGCTCTGCTGCCTGGGTGAGTGGAACCTTGCCGGTATGTTGGGAAGGGCCTGGTGGGCGGAGCCCTGAAGGCAGGGTGGGAGAGTCCTTCGGCTGGGTGAGCAGGTCCTGGGTGGGCGGAGCTCTGCAAGCTGGGTGGGTGGGAGAGTCCTGCAGGCTGGGTGGGCGGGGCTCTGCAGGCTGGGTGGGCGGGGCTCTGCAGGCTGGGTGGGCGGGGCTCTGCAGGCTGGGTGGATGGGTCCTGGGTGGGAGAGTCCTGTGGGCAGGAGAGTCTTGCGGGCTGGGTGGGTGGGTCTTGGGTAGGCAGAGCTCTGCAGGCTGGGTGGACGGGTCCTGTGGGCTGGGTGGGAGAGTCCTGTGGCTGGGTGAGCAGGTCCTGGGTGGGCAGAGCTCTGCAAGCTGGGTGGGTAGGAGAGTCCTGCAGGCTGAGTGGGCGGAGCTCTGCGGACTAGGTGGGCGGGGCCCGTGTAGGCAGAGCTCTGCAGGCTGGGTGGATGGGTCCTGGGTGGGAGAAGTGTGGGGCTACCTGTGCGCAGGGGCGGGGCCGGGGCCAGGCACAGGGCCAGATGCAGGCTCCACCACGCGCGGAAGGAGCACAGGTGCACAAGCAATGCCCGCAAAGGACTCGGGGAAGTGCAAATCGCGCTCCCACTCGTCAGTCTCGGTGTTGTACACCTGCACGAGACCCGTGACATTGTTGAGGCGCCAGTTGTAGCCCCCCACAATATAGATCTTGGGGCCGAGCAGACAGCAGCCAGCCTCCGACTGGCCGGCACGCATGGGGCTCACACTGGTCCACTGGTCAGTCTCTGGCACATAGTACTCCACGGCCAGCACATCGAAGCAGCGGTCCACGTGATCCATGCGACCACCCAGTGCGTAGAGGCGGCCGCCAGCACCCACCATGGCGTGCAGCACGCGTGGCTCACTCATGGGTGCCTTGAACTCCCACTGGTCAGCCGCGGGGTCGTAGCAGTGCAAAGCCTTCTTGTCCTCCACTGAGATGCCATAGCCCCCTGAGATGTAGAGGCGGCCCCCCGCAGCAGCGCCAGCGTGGCCCCAGGTGCGGCGCCGCAGCGAGCAGGCGTAGCCCCATTCGTTGCGGCTGGGGCAGTAGCATTCCACTGAGGCCAGGCTGCCGGCACGGTTGCGGCCACCCGTGGCGTAGACCAGGCCACCCAGCGCATTCAGCTGGAACTGGATGCGGCTCTCCTGCATGGCCTGCAGTCGTAGCCAGCGGTTCAGGTGCGGGTCATAGCGGTAGCACACATCCACCGCGCCCTCACCACTGCGGTGCTGCAGGTGCTGGCCGCCGGCCACATACACGAAGTTGTCAAGCACGGCCACACAGGTATGGCTGCATCCCACCTCCATCTCGGTGAGCTCGCGGAAATGACGCGCCCCGGGCTCGGGCAGCTGAAACACCTTGTTGCTCACGGCGCGGTCGCTGTCCGTGTATGGGGTGCCTCCGAAGGCCACCAGCGCCGGCACGTCAGAGCGCACGACTGTGCGTGGTGACTGCATGTCATGCTGACGGAAGGGCAGCACCTGGTAGTTGAAGGCCTCCAGCAGGAACTGGCGGCAGCGCACGTCCTCCACCATGAGGTCAAGCGTCTGCACACTGTCCACCAGCTCGCTTGAGCGCATAAGTGGGAAGCGCACGTGGCAGAGCACGTGGCTGGCACGCAGTCGCCGCGCTGGGTCGTGCTGCAGCCAGCGTACAGCGGCATGGAACAGGTCGATCTCGGCACAGCTCTGCAGCCGGTTGCTCTGCAGGTAGAAGACCAGGCGCTCGAGCGGCAGCTGCAGGAAGTCGTCCTCGGCCGCAATCTGCAGGAAGTGGCGGAAGGTGAAGGCGTCCACTGACTCCTTGAGCGAGGCCAGGCTGAAGGTGGCGGCCATGTGGCCGATGTGCAGGCATGTGTCCACGCTCATGGCGGCCTTGAGGAAGTCCTCACACAGTGCCACCACGGGAGGCGTCTGCAGGAACACAGCGGCGCCCAGCACGTCCTCCACACAGTCCAGGTCCAGCGTCACCTCGGCGCTGTAGGCAAAGTCCATAACGTGCCGCAGGCCTCTCGCGGACACGCCCTTGAGCTCGATCACCTCCTGCTGCGCCTCCCGCATGCCGCCAGTGAACATGGCCCTGAGGGGCAGACGCAAGGGCAGGTCCCACCAACACACAGTGCCTGCCCCCCTACCTGGCGCCCGCCCCCTCAGCGGCCCTTCACCCACCCTCTCCTGGCCCCGGGTCGCCCGGAGACACAGCCTCCAACAGTGCAGGGCCAGGGAGGGCACCCGAACACCTGCTAGACTTGGGAGGTTCTGGAAAAATGGCGGCACGGCCTGTGTCTGAGTGCTAGACCCTGGCAGGATGTCCCGGGCACCCCGTCTGCCAGCCCCCCGACTCTGCCCCTCTGGTCCCCGGGAGCTTCGGCACCCCATGGAGGCAGAGCCTCCGCAGTTTTGCCTTTTAAGGGGCCGCGGCTGCAGCACCAGCTCAGAGGCGCCTTTAAAGGGCATTTCTGGCTGGGCCGCACTCGTCCCCAAACCCAGAGTAAAAATAGAAGCGGCGCCCCGCTTGGCTGGCAGTGCTGGCGCCCCAAGCGGCCTCACGGGGCTTCAGGGACGCATCTGGGGGCACTACAGGAGCACAAGCCTTGGCCGCGCAGACCTGGGCCAGGAGCGGGTGGAGCCTCCCTCCAGGGGACCCAGGGGAAGCTTGACAGGGACACGTAGACTTCACACCCTGGGACCACCCTGCCACTGAGTGGGCCTGGGGTAGGGGACAGGGCTCAGGGTGACACTTCCCATGCAAGTGGGTGGACACCCCATCCCCGCCCAGCACTGCGGAAGGAAACAGTGACCACTGCCACTGCTGACACCAGGAAGGTAGGATGGGCAGAGGGTGGGTGAGCAGAGGTCAGATGGGCAGATGGCCTCTGGCCCCCAGGTCCAAGCTCACTTCAGCGGGGACGCCAGGGAAGGCTCACCTGAAGTAGTCGCTGCAGGCGGCCAGTACCACGCGGTGTGCACGGAAGATTTCCGAGCCCACGGTCAGGGTGACGTCCAGGAGGCGGCCCTGCGCCCGAAGGGCAGCCAGGCCCTGCAGAAGGCTGGCACTGTGGCCAGGTGCTGAGAAGGTGCACTTGGCCCCATTCTTGTCGGCCAGGCTGTGGGCAGAGGGGGGCACGTTCAGGGCCTGGACCACACCTGCTCTTCTTATGGGCTGACCGCCAGGCCCCGCCCGAGAGCAGGTGTGCCAGGCCCAGGCTGGCTGCTGTCTTGCCGACGAAGCCGGCTCAGTCATGCCGTGGCGTCACCCATGGGTGAGTGCGTGCCCGCCTCATACCTGCAGGTCCCGCACTCCAGCACATAGCGACCTCCCCACCACCCCGTTTCAGGTCAGGAGATGGCTCAAGGGGCTGAGGCACGAGCTTTGCACATGGAAGCACACTGCATGGTCCCCCGAACACACCAGGCACCCGCCACCCTCCAGGCCTGAGCTCTCAGGACAGGCTCCCGCACTGCACTCCCAGGGATGGCAGTGGCAAAGGAGCAGGCCTGCCCCGTGGCCGGCACCCAAGACTCTCCCCGTCCACCACTCGTCCCTGGGCCTGGGCCCCAGCTCTCCGGAACTGCTTTCCCATTCCTGCGACCGACGCCTGCCTGGAAACGAGGGCAAGAATGTGGACGCTGGGCTTTCCAAGAATGCTGGGCAAGCAGCCTCCTTCGGCCCTACCCATAGCTCCCACATCCATCGGGGAAACCAGCAGCTTCCTGTACAGTGCTCAAGAGCTCTTAAAGACAGGGCATGGGCACACAGCAGTCTGCGCCCGATCAGCTCTAGCGTCAGGCATGGGAATATGGCCTTAGCCCAGTCAGCACTGACACCAGGCATGCACACAGCTTCTGTCCAATCAGCACTGATATCACACACACACACACACACACACACACACACACACACACAGGCTCCATCCAATCAGCACTGACACAAGCAACTTCAGGCATCTAATCAGCACAGATGCCAGGCGATGGCACACACAGGTACATAGCCGGCCCCCAACCAGTGGTTACTGTCAGCACTCAAAAAATGCTGGCACGGGGCCGGAGCAATAGCACAGCGGGTAAGGCATTTGCCTTGCATGCGGCCCACCCAGGTTCAATCCCCGGCATCCCATATGGTCCCCTGAGCACTGCCAGGAGTAATTCCTGAGTGCAAAGCCGGGAGTAACCCCTGAGCATTGCTAGGTGTGGCCCAAAAAGAAAAAAAATATGCTGGCACTTGGGGCCAGAGAGATAGTACAGCAGGGAGGGTCCTTGCCTTGCACACAGTTGACCCAGGTTCGATCCCCAGCACCGCATGGTGTCCCTAAGCCTCACCAGAAGTGATCTCAGAGCATAGACAGAAGTAAGAAATACATAGGGCTTGAGAGTTGGCCACAGCCCACACATAATCAGCTTACACGGGCACCCAAGGTCCCTAACTACATAGTTCACCCACATAACCACATAATCTACCCCCCTCGCTTTCCTTCCAGAGGCATGAGGGAAACCGGGTAAGAACAGCCAGCGGGAAAGGGGGCTACAGGTCCTGAATAGGGGGTGTGGGGGGCACTGGAACTGCACTGTGGGGCATTGGCTACAGTGCCGGGGACTGGCACAAAGGTGCCAGAGGTCAGAGTGGCAGGTGTGCTGGGGACCATGCTGGAACCCAATCAGCACTGATGCCAAGCAGCATCAGCATGTGGAACCCATTCACACACATTGCTGCAGTAAGTAATTGTGTGTGCCTGCGGGGGCGGTGGGGGGGAGCTCCCGGATTCTCACAGTCCCTCGGCGTGGGTGCCCACAAGAGCACATACTTCTCCCTGCAGCCCCACTCATCACCACCTGGGGGTGCTCTGAGCAGCGTGTATCCCCCTGAGGGGCTGGGTCAGCTCTGCCCTCTGCCCCACTCAGGTGAGGAGGGGCCTGGGGACACCTGCCTGTCCAGGGAACCCTGAGTATTATGTTGGCCAGTACAGGGGTCTCCCCTATACCTCAGCCTCCTGGCATCTGGCGGGTACTTTATCCCCAGTTGTTTGCTTCTCCCTCAGTAACTCGGGGGCTTAGTACCTGCCTGGCCAGCCCACAGCCACAAGCTCCTAAGCCCAACCTACATGTCAAGTGTGATCCCCGTGCTGGCAGGCGGTCACTAAAGGGTGACCGTAGGAATGGATAAGCTCTCCAGTCAGGCAGGTGTGACCACCCCCCTCCACAACTGCAGCAAAGGCCACAATTCCAGAGGGCAGGTAGGCAGGAACAAGCCTTCTGTGTATGAGATGTGTGAAGAGGCCCCAAACACTGTTTCTGAGGTCAAAGGGGGCACTTCCAGTCAGGGGTTCACGGTGATGGGGTGTCTCCCCCGGGGGGTGGCTGGGTTCACATACTCCTGCAGGGGATAAGGCAGCACCCCAGGCCCTCTGCCTCCTGCTCACAGCCGGGACTGCGGGCGCAATGACTAACCAGAACCCATTACTCAGACTAGCCCAGACAGAGGGCGGCCGGCTCAGGGACACAGGGTGCAGGATGGCGGCAGTCCTGGGCCCGGTCACATGAGCCACCATTCACAAAACTGACTCATCGGAGCTTGCACATCAGTAGCCACTGGGGCATCTCTGTGGCCACTCACTGCTGCCCCCTTGCCAGACTCTTGCCTGGAGGACAGGGGTACCCCTCTCCTGACCCCAGGCCACACATCCAGGGCATTGTCTCTGTTTCATTTTGTTTGGGGACCCGCGGTGCTCAGGGATCACTCCTGATGGGGCCCAGGGGATCCTATGTGGTGGGGGTGAACCCTAGGTCAGTGGTGCACAGCCCGCATCTCTCTGTAGAAGGTTCTCTCTAGTCTCACGAGGTCTTTCTGCAGGCCAGGCCCTGAACTGCCCCTGAGGGGGTGCAGGCAATATCTCCTGCCCAGCCCGTGAAAACACATGTTGCAGGATCCCCCAATCTCCCTAGGTCCCCAGTCAAGCCAGCCGACTCCCAGCTGGTGGCCCCTCCCAGTCCTGACCCCTTTTGTGGGGTCACCCCAGCCATGCACCTCATATCAGGGGCTGCTTCAGAGGGATGCAGCCAATAATGAGCCTTGGTGAAGGTGCCAGCGGAAGTGTGGGTGTCCTCCTGAGTCCTGTGTGGCTCCCTGAGCTACAGGAGCCCCAGAGCCCCAAAACTGCCTAAACACACACACACACACACACACACACACACACACACACACACACTGCACAGGGAAAGGCCAGGAGAAAAAATTCCACGGAAACATTTCTGGGAAGTTGTGTCAAGTTCTACCCAGCTCCGGAGCTCTGGCTGATGAAACCCCTCTCCAAAGCCTTGCTCCCCTCCAAGCCCTGCGCCTCCACCTTCAAAGCCTGATCAGAGAGCAAGCACAGCTGGGCCGGGGAGCCTGCACCGCCCAGCCACGCACACCCATCAGCCAGCAGATTCTTTGGGGGCAGAGACAGGAATGGGGGGGCAGAGACTCAGAGATGGTGGGGCAGAGAGAAACCCAGACCAGGCAGTTTCAGAGGGGAAGACGGGCTGCTGAGCACATCCTGCCAGGACTCTTCCTGGGGTGCGGCAGCTTGAGCCCACCTGGTGCACACGCTGCTAAGACCCTCCCTGCCCACGTGCCATGGAGCCCTGCTATCTGTCCAGGTCTCAGCCAGGTGGGGATCCCCTACCCCAGCCCTGGCCTCCTCGCAGCCTCTGACCCATGCCCAGGTACCCTGGAGCTCTGGCCACTTCTAAGAGAACCCTCCGAGGCACCCCAAAACCCAGCACACACAGCCCACAGCACAGCCCACAGACACCACGGCTTACCCTCCCCCACAGACCACAGCATACCTGCCCTCCCCCAGCATGGTACTCCTGGGTTGCGCACACACACACAGCCCCACACAGACCACAGCACATCCCCACAGACCACAGGGCACCTGCCCCCACACACACAGAGCATGGTGCTCCCGGGTTGCATGCATGTACATACACACACACGCACAGATACCACAGCTTACCCACCTCCACAGGCCATAGTGCATCTGCCCCCCCCCACATACATAGAGCACGGTACTCCCAGGCCATGCGCTTGTGCACATACTCTCTCTCTCTCTCTCACACACACACACACACACACACACATCACCTGCACAGACCACACCACACCCCTACAGGAACTACAGCTTACCCACCCCCACAGACCACAGCACACTTGCCCCCTCCCCACAGTGTCCAGGGCTCCCAGGGCATGTGTGGGCGCCCCGCACACTGCACCCCTGGCCCCCAGCTGCACCCACAGCAAACCTGCACTCTTCCCCGGGCAGGCTGTGTGTCCCCTCTCCTGGCTGTGTCTGCTCTACTCCCAGGAGCCTCCGTGGGGGGGTTTCCTGTGTGCCCCAGCACCTGTGCTGTGCTGAGCAGTCAGGCCTGACACCCGGGAACCACATGGCCCAACAAGTGGACAAATATGAAGGGCGGGTGGGTGCGCATAGGTAGGGCACAGCCGCTAAGCGGGGCGTCACCCTTGCCTTGTGGCTGCCTGCCCGCCCAGCAGTCCCTTCCACATAAGAGTGTCCCGGGGGGCCCATACTATGGGCTGTGCTCCCGCCTACCTGCAGGTGCGGGGGATCTCCTTCCCCACCCCGCCCCCACATTATCCCCCCACTGTGGCGGGGCTTAAGGACAGGGCGCTTGAATGAGCAAAACCTTCACTCTAAACACCAGGCAAGTAGGTGCATGACACGAGGCCCAGAGCCCTGCTCGGAACCAGGGAGACGCCAGCATGCCAAATTCCAGCGTCGCGGGGCCCTGCCCGCAGCCGCCCTGCCAGCACAGCTGTGGGGGCCCCTCCAGGAACGCGGGCATGGGGACACCCGGCCCAGCCCACGACAGTAGCGCAGGTTTGAGCACCAGCAGGTCCTGTGGGATCCCTTCATTTCGGGGAGCTCCCATCGGATAAGCAACCCTGTTCCCCCAGAGGGCTGCCTGTCTTCCCTCAGTCTCAGTGGAAGATCAGGAGACCCACAACACGCCAGGCTTGGTCTCCCAGAGTGCCAAAGGGCTCGGGGATGATGGTGCGCAACCAGAACCAGAGTCCCCAGCCCTCCCCGTCATGGTGATGATAGGCTCC